AGGAGTGACCAGGAACAATGGTCACAAGCTAGCAGAGGGTAGGTTTAGGTTAGACATCAGAAGGCGCTATTTCACGGTCAGGGCGGCTAGGGTCTGGAACCAACTTCCAAGGGAGGTGGTGCAGGCTCCTACCCTGGGGGTTTTTAAGAAGAGGTTAGATGAACACCTTGCTGGGGTCGTTTGACCCCAGTACTCTTTCCTGCCATGGCAGGGGGTTGGACTAGATGATCTTCTCAGGTCCCTTCCGACCCTAGAAACTATGAAACTATGAAACTATGAAGAACTTAGCACAAAGAGAATGCAGAACCATGTGCAAGATGCCTGGACTTCTTATACAAAGCATGGGGAAAGGTGAGCACTTCGCAATGGGGCCCACAAGGAGCTGTCACAGAAATTGTCCTCTTTCACTTCAGGCAAGTGACCCAGCCACTAAGCTACAGTCCTAACCAACCCCAGGACCCACCTCACACTTCATAGCCAGGATGAATGCAAGGGCAGGTGCAGCTGCACCTTCCTTTGATTGCTGCTCCACCCACAGTTAAAAAGAAACTGCCTGGGAGTGGCAGCAGCATTTCTATTCAGGGAGTGCTGAAGAAATCAATTGATTTTATGGCTCATTATAATCTGCCTAATTCCTGCTGATCTCTCTTCGCTGAACAGGTGTTAATGACCCTCTCTCCTTTTTAATGGTCTTGATGTTCCATTAATCAACTTATCGTTTCTTCTGCAGTCTTGCTATCTGTTAGCCATTCTTGGTAATATTTCTTTTCAGCTCTTCAGACTGTTTTTAGTTCTAGCTAAAACACGTAAACACAGGTATGGTAATATAAAATTAGGTTTGCATTAACTCAGGTGTGCTAATGACTGACAGCAAAGTGTTGAATGCACTGCCAAGATGCTCAAGAAAGCTAGATTTTTTTTTACAAATCTGAATAAGAGGTGTACATTTAACTACAATGTCCACACAAGTAATAAAACAATATATTTTGTCTATTTTTACCTAGTTCATTGTGTTTTTTACACTTTATATATATAATCTAGCAAATCAATGCACATTCCAATAAAGTTGTATTTGTTTTTGCTTTAATTTTAAACCAAATAATAAAAATGGGTCCCCAGCATAGTTGCAAATCTTTAACTGTAGAAAAAAGTGTTTTGTGTTATATATTATAGTGAGCCCCATCATCTGCACCCTCCTTTCCAGATTCCTAGACCCACCCATGTTTGTGACACCATGAATCTTGAGTTCTCTCCTCCCTGGACGGTAGGCCTCCCATTTTCTGGAGGAAGGTTATAACCACTAGGCTTATATAGAAGAGCCTCCTCATCCTCCTGGGAGATGGTTTTATGAGAACATCAGGCCCACACAGCAGTGTGTGAGAAAGCCCATCCCACTGGCCAAAGAATAGCTACCAGGTTGAGTCCCCTCAACCTGTCACCATGGCATCCTTCAAACAGAGGGATGCCAGCCTTCTGAATCCTAGTAGGGCTTTGGGGTGAGCAAGGTACAAGTGGCCCAACCCAGTCAAGATTGAGCTGTTCTGGGCATGTGCAGAGGCACAAGACAAAGTGCCTGGGGAGTCAAAGCACCGATAGAGTGCAGCTCTGCAAGGTTTAGGGAGCATCTCAGTTTTGGATCAAGGTTGAATTTGTCCTGGAGTAGAGGCTGTCCAAAGCATTTATTCTCTTCTTTGAAAGGGCTCCCAGACATAAGATACATGCAGGATTGGCAACACAGTCAGCAGTCAGCATGTGAGCTAACCCTCTTCTCAACAAGGGTCTTCTCCAGGGTTCCACCAGGAGTCAGGCTTCCTCCTGTTGCGCAGACAATAAGAATGCAACACCAGTGCCTTGGAGCCCTTGGGACTCTTGTGTGCCAGGGAATGGCCAGATATATGACAGTCTCATGATCTAAACAGACACAACTAACAGAGGAAGCTTTGCAAAATCCACTATATCAAGAGAGGGCCAAAAGCAGCTTCCCCAATGTTATAAAGAACGTGTACAGCAGAACTGGAACTGAAGGCACCTCTCAACAATGCTTAGTCACAGCTTCATCCTTTACTCTGAGCCATGGATCGAACAGACAGCAGTAAAGGTTCCTAGAGTCAAAATGAAGTCCCACCTGCAGAAGCCTTTACAACATCAAAATGGTTTGTGCTCCCTGCCCCAGAGTGATTAAGTGGTACAATAGGAGAAACAAATATGTGACTCTGATCAAGCTTTACAAATGCCTTTAAAAAAAAAAGAAAGAGAAAGAATTATCTTGGGGAGTGGATGGAGAGCTTGAAAAGCTCTGTGGCTTGGCGGGGGTTCACTGAAGAAAGATCATCAGAACTGTCTTTATGATAAAGCAGGTCTTCAGCATACAGACACTGTCTCTAGTAGTGAAACCCAGGGCAGAGGAGGGAAAGGCTGCCAGAGACCATGCCCAGAGCACTGCTTTGACCACACTGTCCAGAATACAGAATGAGGTCCGAGATGCACCCCATGGCGCTGTAGGTCAGTGCAGGAAAATATACTGGCTTTGCTTTAGTAAGGCAGCTTGCAGTCTTGCCCAAGGCACTTTAAATTGGTGAGCTTTTTTTCCCCTCATCTGTTTATTATTATAACTAGGGCAAGGCTAATGCCTCACAGGAACCATGACCTTATTGCCTGCTCTGAGCTAAATCATGGTGTCAGAGGAGTCAGCTGCCCAGCACAACAATCAGCCATAAGAGAAAAAAGATATGGTCTAGAAGCTGTTCCCAGTACATGAATGGCAAGGTCAGTTCGAGCTCACCTTGTAGTAGTCTGATTGCTCTGTTCAAGCCTCCTTCCTCCTCAACGTTTAAACCACCCAATTTAGCACAAGGGCATTGTTGCAGGCCTCACATTTTTCATGTGCTGTCGCATCACACCATTTCCATCCTCTTCTTACAGCCAGGAAGCCATCCACCTCCTGAATGAGAGGAGGGAAATATAAAATTAAAAAGACCAAAGCTCAAGGACAGTACATGTGGCCTCCTGCGCTTTTATGCCTATTAATCACAGCTCTGCTCATCACTTCTGCATTTATTTTAGAATTCACACTATGTTTCTGCCCAACTCCACCTCAATATCCATTTCCACCCCCTTCTTTGCCCTTTCCTCTCCTTGGACTCAGCTCAAGGCCATTAAAGTCAGTGGAAATACTTTGGAAAGATAATGGAAAGGATTTGCATGGGGCCCATACGCTTCATACACAGTTACCTGCCCTAGATACCTTTAGCCACTTATGCCTACAGAGATTTTTAATCTCTGATGTGCATTGGGCTTCCCTAAGTGAGCTACAGCATTATATTATATCTACATTTTTCCTGTTATTCATCTCACTCCCACCTAGACTACATCCTGCTTTTCCATGGCCATAGATTCACAGATGCTAGGGTTCGAAGGGACCTCAGTAGATCATCGAGTCCGACTCCCTGCCCTGGGCAGGAAAGAGTGCTGAGGTCTGACAACCCCAGCCAGGTGCTTGTCCAGTCTCATCTTAAAGACCCCCAAGGTAGGGGAGAGCACCACCTCCCTTGGAAGCCCATTCCAGATTCTGGCAACCCTAACCATAAAGAAGTTCTTTCTGATGTCCAGCCTAAATCTTCTATCAACTTGTGGCCATTGTTTCTGGTTATTCCAAGGGGTGCTCTGGTAAACAGAGCATCTGCTATTCCCTGCTGCCCTTCCCCACACCCCCATCTCACCCACGCCCCCCTGGTGAATTTGCATACTACCACCAAGATCTTCACTCAGCCTTTTCTTGTGGAGGCTGAAAGGTCCAGGTCCCTCAGCCTTTCCTCATAAGGCCTTCCCTGCAGGCCTCTAACCATATGAGTGGCCCTCCTCTGGACCCTCTCAAGGTTGTCTACATCCTTCTTGAATTCTGGTGCCCAGAATTGGATGCAGTACTCTAGATGTGGCCTGACCAGTGTTGTATAGAGGGGGAGCATTACCTCCCTGGA